TTTGGTTTCCAAGAATGATAATGAGATTAGCACACTCTTCCACATTTTCCTTTTCATACACTAGAATGGATATATAGCTGTTGGATGGGATAGCTTTTATGTGGCGCTTAGCAGTAATGGTTGTGTGGAAGTAAAGCTGTATCCAAATTATCAGTTGCCGTTCACAACCTGTTTTTATGATTTTGGTTGATTGCCCGTTTCTATATTTTAGACCCAACAATTAGCCGTTTCTGTTTCTTTCTTCATCACATGGGGGTTTATGTGTATAGCTTGCAATCCACGTGAATGAACTCTGGATTCTTGCAGTCAGCTACAACATTTTAATAAATAACAGAATCCTGCCTTAACCGAGTTGATAAAGAAGAGATTATGTTCCGCTTTAATCTATACATCTATTAAGATGTGGAATTAAAACTATGAGGACCCACATGCTTATATTTAAGACGGCAATGCTTGTGATTTGTAAAGCAGGTATAGTGGTGGAAAATGGAAATCCATCATTATATCGCACTAAAACGAAGACAATTCATTCACGCATTCAATATTCTCTTAAATTTTCTATGATAAGCCAAAGCCAGTACTAATTCTAAACCCCATTTTCTCTCTAACACAGACGAATACACCTACACACAACAATCTTAATATTGTGACCCAACAATATGAATCATTAATATTGAAAGGTAAACTCTTACCACTAGAGTTAACAATAGATTTTATTAGTTTTTTAAAATTGCAATTCAATCATATTTATAAATAATTCATATTCAAATAGATTTTAATTATTCTATCTATAATATATAATAAAATATAATAAGAATAATAAATACTATTAAGTTCCCAACTATTAGAGGTTACAAAATGGTCTTCCGACTATAGAGAGTTGCTTTGTTGAGTACATTGACTGTTAAAAATTACAAAATAGTCACCTTGCTATTTATTACGATTCAAACTCATCATTTTTTCGTTAAAAATTTGACGACAGTCCGAGCTGTACATTAACATACTTACTAAGATATGATAAAATATAATCTCATAATCTTAAACGAATATCATATTTTAGTCAACTTGTTAAAGTCTAACTCAGATGACCACTAATTTTTTAACAGAAAATGACGAGGTTAGAATATAATGAATAGTCAAGGGACCATGTTTTAATAATCAATGGACTCAACAAAACAACTCCCTATAGTCGAATGATCATTTTATATATTCTAGTAGTCAATAAACTCAATAAAATAATATCCTATAATCGAGAGATCATTTGTTTACTTTACCCTAAAATTTAACAATAATTCATAAATGGATTATAAAATGAAAATTAGAGTTAAATACTTAGAAACCCAAAACTCCTACCTCTGAATTATTTTCTAGCGTGCCAGAGATAATGAGGCATCTGGTCGAAGCGGATGTTAGTAGGGCTAACATGAAATTCAATAACTATAATGATTGATAGAAGCTCGAAAAAAAAATAGTGGCCCAAGTTAAATGGAACTATTTAAGGGTTAAAATTTTTAGGCTTAAGGGTCACAGACGCTCTCATGTAGTAAACCAAAATTATTAATTTTGCTCATATCGTATTTTCGCATTAATTAATATTTAAAGTTGCCTAATTTAATCAATGTTTACCTTTGACCGTATTGACTAACAGAACTATTAGTTTATGATGACGTGGTCGTCAGCTGTTTCCACGTGGGCTATTTTTACTGATGTGTAAACTGGTTGACATGGAAAAAAAAACTAAGTAAAGATTTACACGGCTATAAAGCTAACCCTAAAACTAACTCCCCTCCATCGTGATAATCTCATCTCCTTCATCTTCTTTTCTTCATCGTCATCAGCAGGCATGTAACGGTCATTTTCATCTTCTTCTTCTTTTCTCCACCTAGGTCTAATGCATATATTAAATAATTAACTCCATAACCAACCTTTCATAACCTCATGGGAAGCTTAAAACCAATATCCAGAATCCATTAACACGTGCCTAAGATCGACTGGCTTGGAATTCAAGGGCAAAAACTCAACATGCAAATTGCTTTTATACACATTTATGACCATAAAAAAATTTCTGAAAACATACATATGCCGTGCAATAGAACACATGGGAACTTTCCTGTCATTTAATTTTACCACAAGGAAACGAGGGTTAATGTTGTGACACAAGTAGGTTGATTGGCAACTGTAGTTTGTGATATGGTCTCAAAATATGAAGGTCTCATCTTGTGAAAAAAATCTACTAACCTAGAAGAAATTATTCTCTTGACAAAATTCAAAAAGATCTTCTATTTTTTTCCCCTTATTATCTCAATATTTCAATTGTAATCAATTTTTCTTAAAAAAATACCAAATTTATGGTGTTTAACGGACAAAAAACTTCTTATTTATGTCCATCATAATTTCAATTTTATTAAATTTTGATATTTTATAATTTCACTCTATTACAAAATATTTTAGGGGCCTACTTTTAAAATTTAGTACAATGCCTATGGGCACAAGGATTTCTGACTTTATCACACAGGTATAAATATATAGAGAGAGAGAAGAATAAAGTTGAATCAAATGGTGTTTAGTTATACTTGTTGGAAACACACAAGGCTTTTTGAAGGCACAGATAAATTATATCCCGATACGCCAAAAGTCAGCACAATCACGACTTCAAAATGGATAAACCAGAAATACTAACAATTATCAGAAGCTCAAACAATAAAGGTATCCATCATCCAATGCAGGAAAGAAAAGGCATTCACATACTGCTTCCCAGTAACCACTGCTTCCACCACCTCTTTTCTACATCCAAAAAAAAATTGCTCCAAAAATCAGCACATACGGTTCAAATTAATCGGAAACATAGAGGAACTGCATGGTGTTTCTGCAAAAGTTTCATCATAAAAAGTTTGGTGCCAACAGCAAGCAATGCTTGAATGAAAAATTCTGGATGGGATAACGGTATTTCATAAAGATCTGGCACTATTTCTTTCAAGCAGCATGCATGTTCCGTTAACATGTATCCCTAATACTACATTTGATACAAGTGTTATTTATTCCTCATGTTTTAGTAATAAATTAACTTTACTTGATAATATTTAGCTACTCATGATTTGAGTAACACATGTAATAATTAAGTTATTTCCATATGTACCAAACGTGACATAAGAGTATATATCCCCTTATCATACCAGCTCCGACCAGAGACAATTGAGGAACTAATTGCAGCAGCATGGGTTTTGTAAAACAACTCTGTGAAGAAACCACTAACAAATAAGCTAACATTTAGTATAAGCAATTACATTAATGCACTAACATTTCATTTCACTAATTAACCATTGGAAAAGCTAGCAGGATTTTTTTTTCTTTGGGGATTCCATTTCCTTTAAATCTTTGTTCAGACAATAAAAAATGACTTTGAAAGTAGTGGCGAGAGATGATAACTATGAAGTAGGTTGTAATCTTCTTCTTTTTTTTGTAAAATCTAAAAGTAATACCCCTCTTCTTTCCCAAGAATTTTAGCTTTGCATACCTGAATGTAATGCAACACATAGTAGCTTCAGCTATAACATTTCTTTATTTTAAAGACGTCAAGGCACTAGAATGTGATAAAAGGGGTGTGTGTATATTACCTAAAACCTTTAGAAGAAAATCTTGTTCAAAGCTAAAAAAGCACAACACAAAAATGCCTTGAGACCAAAAGAAAATTACATCACTTCCATCCTTTTTCCTAACAAAAAATAGCCAATCTAAATCTATGATCTTAAGATCTAACCTCAATTTAAAGTATCATTATTTTCCTTTTAGAAAAAGACAAACCCTACCTAGAACTCTAGGCTGACCTTACAAAGACACCAGCATTATTTGAGTTGAATGTGTTCTCAAAAGGAGTTACCTTTCTTTCTTGATCAAGGAAATTCTTGAGTAAAGAGAGAAAATGGAGGAAACAACTTCATGAATTCATCAGCATAAATGTTTTAATAAAAACTTGACCTTTTCTACTTTTTTTTCCATAATCATTTTACCTCATTGTTTACTTGCATAGTTATTTTATGACATCCAATATAAATGTGCATTGTATTGTTTTAATGCTATTAACTTATGGGACCTAAGGGTATATATGCTGTAGAAATAAGCAGTAAATTCTAAACCATCTTAACTTTCATTCCTTCACCTTACTCATTTCTCTTATCCATAAACATGATACTAGTGCAAGTAGCCTTTTACATTTTATTCCTACAATTTACACTTAAATTATTAGTGATATCATAAAAAAGTAAGTCTACACATAAATCTATAATAAATTATGTTTTTCGAATTTAAAATAAATATCTCATACGAATATGATCCAACAAAATTATACTTAATTATTTTAAACATTTTATATATCTAAAAAGATTAAATCTCATACAAACATGTTATCCAATACAAATAGTTGATAAGACTTTGATGCATTTTACATAATGATATATCCATATTCTTAACTCACAAAACTTAAATTTCTATGTCAATAATCACCACAACTGAAACATATAACTTTCCAATTTCTTTATCAATTGTGGATGTGCTGAGTTCCCTAAGTTCTACTATAAGCCTATTTAGAGGTTCTTTGTTACTGAGATTTTAGTTTCTCCTATGAAACTTATGATTGTGACGTGTTTATAATATTATGAAATTTTGGTAATTAGTTCCTACCAATGATCTTTTTCGTCGTTATTGATTTTGATTTGATGTTAGATCTTAAGAATTTAATTATATCTTGGATTGAATATATATAATGGATGTGAAATGAAGTAAATTATCGTTTTTCATCTTTTTAATCTCATTGCTTTGATTTATTGGTCCTAGCATTTTTCACTGTAGGAACAATGACAGCTCAATTTCAATAATATATTAAAATTTTATTAAAACATGGCTTTATCCTTGCTAAACCTAGAAAAAACAGTTACCATGGAAGGTATTGAAGTTTGAGAACTTGAGGTCTTATGTACATAGAGATTTCCCCATTTTTATCTCTCTTTTTTTCAGATGTAGTTTACCGTTAATCATCTAGAAACTTTAACCAATCAAAAAACTGACAATGTAGCTGATCCATTGCCATGTGGTGCAGTTAAGGTTTACAAGGTCACACCCTATTTTGAAATGTGATCTTTAATTGATTTAACTCAGTGCCCAGCAATGCTTGGCCACCAAGAAACTAACACCTGGCATTGGTTCATATATGTCAGGGATAAGGGAACCATGGAGAAGAGAACAGACAATGAGACAACCAGCCGATCCTTAGTCACAAAAACCTATGCAGGAATCATGACAAAACACAAATTTAAGCTTGTCCCCATTGCCAGATTTCTTTTAAGAAACCAAGGAATTGAGTGGTTCATGGTACTATTCTATGCACAATCATAACACGTTTATCCAAAAAGGATGCCCCAGAAAAAAAAATTAAAGAAAAAAAAGGTTAAACAGGCACAAAAATATCGAAGCTAATTAAGGAAAAGTAAAGCAAGGAAGATAGATATGGATGCCAAACACTACTAATCGTAAAGAAGTTTGATTAAATGAGTGTTGAGCTTACCAGGGAAAAATACGGGGCAAGAGGGGACTTTTCCAGTAAACTGGTTAGTTCTTTCCTTTTCCTTTCTGATCTGGGTTCCTGCTTCCATCCCCGTAGCAGAGCTGCAAGCGACCTTCTAATCCAGCTGGGAACTGATGGTGGTCCAAAGGTGGCGTGCCAATGTAGAAGGGTGGTGGTCCTTCTATAGAAGAAAATCTCTGGAAGTGATGAGGCAAAAAGGAAGGAGAATTGAACTGAAGGGTCCCCCTATTGTAACCAGCAAGGCCGGAAGAGATAGTGAAGTTGAGGTTGTAGTCACCCCCTGGCACAGCTTGTGTTGTTGCCACCGGGATCAGATGGTCAGTATTGGGAACAAACGAAAAATGCTGCAACTCTTGATGGTTTTTGTTGAAAATTCAATATTAGCCTATATGTTCACACCTAAATTAATTTGATGTCATTGCTTACATCAATTTAGTTTTGATGTCATTGCTTACATCAATTTAGTTAGGTGAAAATTAAGTATTTTTCTCATGTTTTAATTTCAATGGTTTAGATTATTTAGTGTTTATTTTAATGAGTGGTTTAGATTGTTTCTTGTAACCTATAAATACCCTACTTGTATTTGAGTTTTATCATCCAACAATCAAAGCTTAATTATAAGCATTTGAAAGCTTTCTTAAGAGTTCTTCCCTTTTGCAATTTTGTGAGATTATTCTAAAGAGAGTTTTTTTTTTTTATCAATTAGAGTTTTTACTCTATTTTGATTCAACAATTGGTATCAGAGCCACGTTTTTTAAGATCTCTTGAAATTCTGAGTATGCTCTGTGGCTGCAGTTTTTAACTGATCTTCCACATCAGAAAATATTTCTTGAGTTATTGTCGAGGTTATTACAAACCTTGTGGAGCTTCTTTGTGTTTAGAGTAATTTAGTACTCTGCACGTTTGTTACTCAAGCTTGTTCGGTGTAGTCAAAGCCTTGCCGTTAAGATGGGTGATCTTCAAGTAGTTGGAGGAATCAAGAAGCTCAACAACAAAAACTACAACACGTGGCAACATGTATGGAGTCATACTTACAAGGTCAAGACCTTTGGGAGGTTGTCGGTGGTGGTGAAGTTACACAACCGGCGACAGAAGATGCCAATGGAATCTTGCGAAAGTGGAAAATTAAAGCAGGCAAAGCAATGTTTGCTTTAAAGACCACAATTGAAGAAGAAATGTTGGAGCACATCCGGGATGCTAAAACACCAAAGGAAGCATGGGACACTTTTGTTACACTCTTTTCGAAGAGGAACGATACAAAATTGCAACTTCTCGAGAATGAACTTCTATCAATGGCGCAACGCGACATGGCGGTTGCCCAATACTTTCACAAGGTGAAGTCGATATGCCGTGAAATTTCAGAATTAGATCCGACAGCTGCTATTGGGGAAGCCAGGATAAAAAGAATAATTGTCCATGGTTTGAGACCCGAATATCGAGGGTTTGTTGCCGCTGTACAGGGATGGCCGACACAACCATCGCTTGTTGAGTTCGAAAATTTGCTTGCAGGTCAAGAAGCCATGGCCAAGCAAATGGGAGGAGTCTCGTTGAAGGGTGAAGAGGAAGCGCTCTACACCAGCAAAAGCAGAGGCACTTTTCAGCGTATACTGGCAATGGATCTAAAAAGGATGGTGACAAGGTGAAAAATTACCAAGGAAAGGGAGGCCCTCATTCAGGGGGAGCTTCCAAGAATCGCGGTATAGTAGAAAGTTCGATGGCAAGTGTTACAATTGTGGGAAGATGGCCCATGGCAAAAGACTGTTGGACCAAGAAAAGCCTGTTGAAAGTAATACTGCTACTTCTTGTTCGAAGGAGAATAGTGAAGATGGTTGGGATGCTGAAGCGTTATTTGCTACGGAGGAAGAAGAATTAGCTCTCACAGTAACAACACCAGAACGGATTGACTACAAGATGATTGGATCGTAGATTCTGGCTGCTCAAATCATATGACGGGTGACAACAGAAGTTGCAAAAACCTGTCTGAGTACAATGGAGGTCGTGTGGTGGTGACAGCTGACAACTCAAGGTTACCGATAACTCACATCGGTAAGACAATAGTTACTCCTCGATATAATACTAACCAGGTGCAACTCCAAGATGTTTACCATGTCCAGGAATGAAGAAAAATTTGCTATCTGTGGCTCAACTAACATCATCAGGCCATTATGTCTTATTTGGTCCCCAAGACGTGAAGGTTTATCGTGACGTCAAAATCACAGAAACACCAACAATGGAGGGACGACGTTTGGAATCAATTTACGTGATGTCAGCAGAGTCTGCATATGTAGACAGGACAAGGAAAAATGAGACATCAGATCTATGGCACATGCGGTTAGGTCACGTTAGCTATTCCAAGCTAAGTGTGATGGTGAAAAAGTCGATGCTTAAGGGGCTTCCTCAACTAGACGTGAGAACAGACACGGTCTGTGCGGGATGCCAGTATGGTAAAGCACACCAATTACCATATGACGAGTCGAAGTTTAAAGCAAAAGAACCTTTGGAGTTGGTTCACTCTGATGTGTTCGGACCGGTTAAGCAACAGTCAATTAGCGGTATGCGGTACATGGTAACATTCATTGATGACTTCTCCAGGTATGTGTGGGTTTTCTTTATGAAAGAAAAATCTGATACTTTCTCAAAGTTTAAAGAGTTCAGAGACTCAGCTGAAGGAGAAGTGGGAAAGAAGATATGCTGCTTGCGCACAGACAACGGAGGAGAATATAGATCAAACGAGTTCTCTCAATACCTAAGGGAATGCCGAATACGTCATCAGTACACTTGTGCCAACACACCACAACAGAATGGTGTAGCGGAAAGAAAAAAACCGGCATCTTGCAGAAATTTGTCGAAGTATGCTACATGCAAAGAACGTATCTGGAAGGTTTTGGGCTGAAGCAATGAGGACTGCAGCCTTTGTGATCAATAGACTTCCTCAACCAAGGTTAGGATTTGTTTCACCCTTTGAGAAACTATGGAACATAAAACCTACAGTTAGCTACTTTCGAGTATTTGGCTGTGTATGTTATGTGTTTGTTCCTGATCATTTACGGAGCAAATTTGACAAGAAAGCTGTTAGATGTATCTTTGTGGGATATGACAGCCATAGAAAGGGGTGGAAATGTTGTGATCCAATTAGTGGAAGATGCTACACGTCACGAAATGTGGTATTTGATGAAGCATCTTCTTGGTGGTCCTTAGAGAAGGAGGTGTTGCCAGATTCGAGAGAATTTGGAGACAAACTACAACAAAAGATGGGGGAGCATGATGTTCAACTTCAAACAAGTTCAGATGAATCAGAAGATCCAAATGGCGATGATGTCGAACAAAGAGTGACTCAGAATCCGTGGCAAACTGGCGTGTATCAACAACCAAACGAAGAAGGTGGGCCTAGTGAAACAGAAGAATCAATTCCACAATCTCAACTTCGAAGGTCAACAAGAATACGAAGGCCAAATCCCAAATATGCCAATGCAGCCATAATTGAAGAAGCAACGGAGCTGAGACGTTCGAAGAAGCATCGAAGAGTTCTGAGTGGATGACAGCTATGAAGAAGAGATCGATGCACTTCAGCAAAATCAAACTTGGGATATTGTACCAAAGATAAAAGATGTGAAACCCATATCTTGCAAATGGGTTTACAAGATAAAGCGCCGTCCAGATGGGTCAATCGAGAGGTACAAAGCGCGATTGGTAGCTCGTGGTTTCTCTCAACAGTATGGATTAGACTATGATGAAACATTTAGTCCAGTGGCGAAACTTACAACCGTACGAGTCTTACTTGCACTTGCAGCCAACAAAGACTGGAACTTGTGGCAGATGGATGTAAAGAATGCTTTTCTTCATGGAGAGCTAGATCGAGAGATCTACATGACCCAACCAATGGGTTTTCAGAGTCAAGATCATCCTGAATATGTGTGTAAGCTGCGAAAAGCACTCTACGGATTAAAACAAGCACCTAGGGCGTGGTATGGTAAGATTGCTGAATTTCTAACGAAAAGTGGTTATTCAGTAACACCTGCAGATTCTAGCTTGTTTGTCAAAGCCAATGAAGGTAAGCTAGCTATCGTGCTAGTGTACGTGGATGACTTAATCATAACCGGTGATGATGAGGCAGAAATTCTTCAGACGAAGGAGAATTTATCAGTTCGTTTCCAGATGAAGGAACTTGGACAACTTAAGCACTTCCTTGGTCTAGAGGTTGATCGTACACACGAAGGAATATTTCTATGTCAACAGAAATATGCTAAAGATTTGCTGAAGAGGTTTGGAATGCTCGAATGTAAGTCAACTTCAACGCCAATGGAACCAAATATCAAAATGTGTGCACATGAAGGAAAAGATTTGGAAGATGCAACAATGTATCGACAATTGGTAGGTAGTCTGATCTACTTAACCTTGACCCGACCTGACATTTCTTATGCAGTTGGTGTGATGAGTCGGTATATGCAAAATCCAAAGAAGCCTCATTTGGAAGCAGTTCGACGAATACTGAGATATGTGAAGAATACAATTGACTATGGTCTTTTGTACAAGAAAGGTGAAGACTGCAAGTTAGTTGGTTATTGTGATGCTGATTATGCAGAGATCATGACACCAGGAGATCAACAACTGGGTATGTGTTTAAGCTTGGCTCCGGAACAATTTCTTGGTGTAGCAAAAGACAACCAACGGTATCATTGTCAACCACTGAAGCTGAGTATCGAGCAGCAGCAATGGCAGCTCAAGAGAGTACATGGTTGATACAGTTGATGAATAATCTACATCAACCAGTAGATTATGCAATTCCGTTGTATTGTGACAACCAATCGGCAATTCGGCTGGCGGAGAATCCTGTCTTTCATGCAAGAACTAAACATGTGGAAGTACATTACCACTTTGTTAGGGAAAAAGTTTTGCAAGAAGAGATTGAGATGAGGCAAATCAAGACAGATGAGCAAATTGCTGACTTGTTTACAAAAAGCTTGAGTGTTGGAAAGTTTGAACATTTCCGTCGTCAGCATGGCGTGATTGAAAGAATGGAGGCTAACATTGAGGGGGAGTGTTGAAAATTCAATATTAGCCTATATGTTCACACCTAAATTAATTTGATGTCATTGCTTACATCAATTTAGTTTGATGTCATTGCTTACATCAATTTAGTTAGGTGAAAATTAAGTATTTTTCTCATGTTTTAATTTCAATGGTTTAGATTATTTAGTGTTTATTTTAATGAGTGGTTTAGATTGTTTCTTGTAACCTATAAATACCCTACTTGTATTTGAGTTTTATCATCCAACAATCAAAGCTTAATTATAAGCATTTGAAAGCTTTCTTAAGAGTTCTTCCCTTTTGCAATTTTGTGAGATTATTCTAAAGAGAGTTTTTTTTTTTTTATCAATTAGAGTTTTTACTCTATTTTGATTCAACAGTTTTCACCGGACACGGTGATCTGTGGTATAAGTATTTGCTGATGGGGGAAAGGGTTTCCTAGTTGGATTTGTCCAGGAAAACCTGAAGAATGGTTTCTAGAGGAAGAAGGTCCAAGGAGCCCCGTTGTGAAGTAATCCATTTGAGTGACAGGCCACTGCCTGGGGTTTTGATGAGCTGAAGCTGTAGGATTAGCGTCATTGTTGCTAACACTGCCAATGCCACATGTGAGTAACTCGGTGAAGGACGAGTTTTGAGAGACGGGGTTCACATTTTGTTGATCTGGAATGCGAGACTCTTGCTCTTTCTCCTTTTCTTTTGCTGCTCTTTCCCTTGCTCGTTCCCGAGCCTTTACACGGATCTCGGACCTCGAAAGGGATAAACCCGAGTTCTTACTCGTCTCAGACGTGCTACTGCAAGCTGATTTGGACAAAGAAAAGTGCTGCTGACTTTGGTTTTGTTGGTAATTATTAGGTTCACCATTTAACTCGACATCAGCTGAGTCAAACCCTTGTTCAGTTCCTCCACTTGTTCTTTTCTCACCACTTAATTGCATTGGAGAATCGGGAAATGAAGTGTTGAGTGAAGGAAGCTCTGAAATTGCATCAGCAGCTGCTTTAATTAGCCACTCTATGGCTTTACTAGGATGATCATACCCCAACCGATCTTGTAGATCATAAAACTGTATAGCTGTGGTCACAGATAACCTTACCCTCCTGTCTCTCAACCCTTTTGAAGTCCAAACCTTGCTGTGCCGATCTTTGCCACCCGAGGCTCGAGAAACCCTAATAATCCTTGAGGAATGGTGCCAGCCTCGAAGCCTGTTAACATCAGCTAGACCATTTGCACTAGCCCTTTTGATGAGCGCTCCATCTTCTTTATCATCAGGGTAGTTGTCCCTACCTCTCTGACCTATCTTGCTTGACTCATTTCTCCCACCATTACCAACTCTTGACAACTTTGAGGCTTGTGTCTGAATCTCATCCACCTCCATGCCAGTTTCATTCCTTTCTCACAAACTCAATACCTCCCCCTAAGAAACTAATCTTCTTACCTTTTCTTTTGTTGGTTGTTTCACTTGAAAATAGAGAGAAAATCTGGGATTTCGGATAAATGTTAGAAAGTGAAACGGTGAAGATGGTGGTTTAAGCGAACAAAAGAAGCTGGGTCTGAGATGCCCGGTGTTGATGACGATTATTCAGACAGCAGTTTAGTTATGTATAGTGATAAAAGGCCTTTCTTTACGCTTTGATATATCACGGTCCAAGTCAGAAGACTTGTCTTCCTCCTCGTTTAAGCTTTTTGCAGCTTCAGTGCTTTCAAAAGAATAGCCTGAAAAATGGCAGCTACAGTCTGCAAGAAAAGAAAAGAAAAGTTAATGATTTAGATAAAAGGTAAAATAATTATCCGATGCTTCAAAAGATGCATTTCACAAACTCATTGGCCATCGCAACACACACACGCTAGCTGAAGTCTTAAAGGGCTGAAACCTTGAGCTGAGATACGAGAGAGGTATCTGACATTTTGTTGTTTATGTTTTCTTAAGGAGCTAAAAGAGAGTGATAAAAACAAAACCAAAAGTCTTATTTTCAAAAACGATTAATGCCTTTAACAAAAGTTGAGATAGAAAGCTCTCCTTGCTGCTATAATATTACCTTGAATCTGAGAAAGAAACCCTCTTTTTTTCTGCTTCACAGTTAAGCTAAACGAAAGCAATAATTAATTACTTGTTGTATGTTAGATACCGATCTGAAGACAGCCCTTTTCCCTCTCCTTCCTCTTCCTTGAGTTGTTTAAAAGTTTTTTCTTTTTTGAAGCTGACCCTAAAAATGGCAGACACCAGCAGCAGCATCACTATTTATCCTAATAAAAAGACTATTAAATGACAAACCCCCCATGAATAAATCTGCTGTTTCTGAAATTACCAACAAGCATAGAGCTGTTTCTGGAATTACCAACAAAGAAAAAAAAAACTCTCTTTCTCAAAAAGCCAATGAAAAAAAAGAGGGTTTATGTTCACTTTGAAAAACGTTGGTTGGTTGGTGTTGAGGAGTCGAGTTCTCAGACAAACAACAAATATTTTGATTATTCCACCCTCCTCTCTCTCTTCTTTTGGTTTCCCTCACTAGTTGAAGTGAAAACAGATGTTTTATAGAATCCAAACCCACACAACAGATCTGCAAATCTTCCACAGCTACTTTGAAGAAATTAGCTTCACTTCTAAACAGATCGGTTACCTGCACCAACAACCAAACACCAACAAATTAGAGCTCCCGAGATACTAATATTAGCTTCTCAACAAATGTCAACTGTAGTATCGGTTCCCATCTCCAATTAAATCCTGGAGAGAAAAAAAATAAAGCTAAAACCTTTATATCTGTATTTTTCAGCGTACTTTAGATCAGCTTTCTTTAATCCCAAAACAAGCTGTTAAACAGATTTCATTTTTATTCCATTGAAAAAACAAACTTTACAATTTACAAAACGAAGCTTACTTGTTCTTTTCTTTTTACCTTAAAAAAGCAAGCAACCTAAAGAGGATTTAAACACCCGATGAAACAAGATTACTCTCAACAACACATATAAAGCGACAGGAACAGTCAATGAACCTTGTAGCCTATTTTTCTTTGGCTTCCAAAAAAAACAATTTAACAAAAAAAGAAAGAAGGTTTGTAAGCAGATTTTTCCTTGGTCATATCTCCATTTAGCTCCCTAGAAAGTAATGAACAAAAGAAAACAAAACAGAATTTTCAATTAGTAAGCAAAAGCTAATTATAATTAATTCACTTGAATTTTCATACCGAAAGAAAATAATTTATTACATGGAGAAGAAAAACTTGCAGCAAAGCTAGGGTTGGGATTTCTGGCAAGAGAAATTTTAGGACAACAAATGGAACATAAAAAATCCAAGGAAATGGGAAGCGGTAAGGAAAGACAGGAAGAAGATATTTGGAAGCTGATGGTGTTAGCTTTGTGAATCTGAACTATATGAGAGGTTTAAAGTGAAGATATGGAGAAACGACAGACTCCGCGCCGTTTCAAATCCAATCGTTTAATATGTGCTCTTCTCCACATTTTGCCCCTTACTCCCTCCTACATTTACATCTTGGCCATTATATTTAATTAAATTTTCTATTATAATAAAAAAGAAAGTATCCTTACTAAAGGAGGATAGATCAAGTGATTCATTTAAGTGATAAGTGGTTTAATATTAATTAAGTAAATTAATCTTGAATTTGAGTTTTTGTGTATGTAAAAATATTTCATTGAAAGACACATCCACTAAAGTCAAATGTACGGTGTCGATCGGGGCGAATCCTTAAGAACCCGGAGAGCAATAAAAAAGAAGAAGAAGAAAGTATTATTGAAAGTTTGTATAATTATTAATACATGATTAAGGTTGAGTTTGAATAAGATAATTTTAATCTTAGATTTATTGGATTTGATTTTAATCCAAACTTTTTGTTTGTATCAAATTAAGTCAAAAAATAAAAATTGAAAGTAATTACATTTTGCAATATTCCAAATATCAAATTAAGTCGATGCTTAATTGATTTTAATTTTAGATTCAATCTTTGTTAATCTCTTTATTCCAAATCATTAAACATTATTTATAATGGATTTATCTTTTTTAATTTAATTATTAATTGAATGATAAAAAATTAATATTAAATCCTAAATTAACATTAGTTCGGATTTCAAATTTTAACATTTCTTCTAATTAAGTTGTCTATCAAATTTCTATAAAACTACTTTTATTTTTGTGAATTTTTTAATAGAAATTCGTTAGTTTTATTAAAAATAGAAAATATCTAGAATTATAATAAAGATTTACGAGCATAACCATAAATGTAAACTAAATTATAATTAAGACATTTTTATATAACCATTAACACAGAAACTAGCCACTTAGATCACACAAGGACCATAAAAGAAAAAAGTTAAAAAACTAATCAATGTTCGAATAAAATAAAGATACAAATAAATTTGATTGCATCGGCAAACGAATCACAAAAGGAGATGAAACTACTGAAAGACCACTGAAAAATTGCAAATCATAGTCAAGTGACGTGAGAAAACTATCAATGAGCGCAAAATGTGTATCCAAATCAATCCGAAGGTTCAAAGCAGGGAAGATCAGCATAATAACAAATAAGCATCATCTTGATCAGTCGTGGCGATGTCAAATCCAATCCTGTGAAAAAAGATAAAAGAAAAGAACGGCAAAAAATTGTAAGCTATCAAAAGGTAGAGAAAAAAAACGTGTTATAAAGACAGAGAACATATCATAAAGACATAATTAATCTTATTAAAAAACCAAAAAAAAAATAACCGGTGGGCGACAACCAACATTTCTAATAATGATTATGATTAAAAAGAAAACTACCGTTAAAATATTGTTATGAATATTTTTTTAACAAAATGATTATGAGATTTTATTTATGCAAAAGGGACTAAATCGGTGACAATAGTCTTAATAAAAAATATTTCTAAATCTATATGGAAGAAAAAAAGTGTCTCTTATCAAAGTAGATACAATATCGTCAGTAACACATACCAGGCTCAAACTACTTATCGAAACCAAAACAACAAGAAACCAATATTACACCAACAGATTCCAGCTTAGCGCACAACCGTCACTAGCACGATAATGCCCAGGGATAGTCTAAAGGCAAAGGAAAAGGCTTCAAAACTTCCGGTCTAAAACAATAAGAATATCTGCAACAAAACTTCACTGTGCATCAGATCCTCATCTTTTAGTGCCTAATCCACCCCCTATATTACCTCCATGAAAACTTCACCCAATTTACCAACCGTGACAATCACCTGTGGCTGTCACTTATTTATACAGTACTTTAAAAAATTGATTTCAATCATTAATTTTAATTTCTATCTTTATCCAATTCTGAACATATATCTTCTATATATATATATATTCACACATAATTAATGAATAAAACAATGTCACTTGTTTAAATCTTACAATATCAGCTGAAAATAACTTTAGATTTAAAGAAGATTTACTTATAACAATGCATAGATATGTACCGTGAATGCATGTAACAATGACAAAGACACTTATGCGTGACCTCTAAGGTGATCGGATACTATCAGACATTTTTGTTACTTCAGTGACCTCTCATGAACTTGTCGGAACTGTCTTTCGGTTGGACCCGAAATTAAGCTTCGACTTGGATTAAACGAATTTGAGTCGCCACCGATCATTTATTTTAAAACAAATGGGCTGATCGGATACCCTATTTCTCACATGATATGCGTCTTTGCAAAGATGTGTCGGATTCGGGAGTCGGTTACAGTCAAGGAAGGGTTAGCACCCTTGAAATATCCTTTCGGTACTACGCAATTTTCAGTTGTCTTAAATTAAGAAAATTGTAATTTAAAATTAAAAGGTAAAAGTACAATCCCAATTACTTACCTTAGATAGTTTTAAATGTGTGCCCTTAAGAAGGTCAAAAAATCATGTTAGATAAAAATGTAGAATAATAAATAAATAAAATTAAATGAGAAAAATAAATTAAATAAAAGATAAGATAAAGAAAGTAAAGATAAATTAGTAAGTAAAATAAATAAAAAATATATAAAAAAAGAATAAAAAATATATAAATAAAATAAACAAATAAAATAAACAAATAAAAATAATATATATATAATAAATAAAAGCATAAAAAATAGTAAATATATATATATAAATTAATAAAACAGATAATAAAAAATAACATATATATATATGTAATCTAAAAAAATAAAAATATACACTAAAATAAAATAGAAAATGCATGAAATGTAAAAAAAAATATTACATGAAAAAAATAACAAAGCAATTAAATAAAATGAGTAATAAGGGAAATGTGTGTATAAATAAAGTTAAATAAATAAAATAATAAAAATTAAAACGTAAATGTAAGGGACCGAATCAAAAGGAAAAAACAAATCGATGAAAAATTTCGAAGCAAAAAAAAATTGATTTAGGGGGAGAATTAAATATTTAAAAACAGGAACACGCCTCAGGGGTATCTAGGTTCGAAACTTCGAAACCCCATCCCTTTTTGGTCATCGACGCAACCCACGTTTTGAGTTATTTGAACCAAATCTCAAGAAAAAAAAATGCACATGCGAGAAATGAACGAATCAAGAGGTAAAAAAGATGCTACATTTTATTTCTTTTTCGAATCGTTTACAATAGCTTTGCATTTGTATTTTTTTGTGCTTTCCTTTGTATTTTGTATGTAAATCGTGTGTTACAATGTTTATTTATAATGCTTGTAGATCATATTTTTAGGAGTTTGAATCATAGTATAACTTTATCCTATTTTTAGGAGTTCGAGTCATAGTAAAACTCTATCTTATTTTTAAGAGCTCGAATCCTAGTAAAACTCTAACGTTATTCTAAATTCATTAAATTGAGGTTGTTGAGAGTGTTATACCCGGACGAAAATGTGTGTTGACAGAACTAATTCAAATTTATCAGAGTTTTAACAGAGGCCTTTAAATTTGCTTACTATTTCATAGTAAAACTTTATGAAGATTAAAGAGCAGTAGGGTAAATACTTGCATATTATCTTCGACACATACCAACTGACAAATAAAAACAGAGTAAAAAAGAGAATCGAATTGCTACTCTGATATGAAAAATAAATTTGAAGCAACATTACTCCTATTAATTCATCTCATCTACCTGAAGTCAATGTGTTGTTTTGGGTTGGCGTTGATACTCGATTATTGTTCGTAAAGACATCATTAATGGCGATGCCAACTGGGAAAATAATTTCCTGTTCCAAAAATGGATATTTTTTATATGGTAGTTTAACATAATGTATTAGGTCATTAAGGCCACCACAGTCTCAGTTTCCTTTATTTATTTTTTACTGTAAATATAATTCTGCATGAATAATTTGACACAATACAATTGTTCCTATTTGATTTCGAAGCAGAAACCTGACAATTGGTTGTTTAGTGGTAACAAACGAAGAGTTGTGATAAATTAAGGGTGACACTTCTATATCATTTATTAGACAATTTTCAGTGTTTACAATAACTGTGATAATTGTTGATAACTTTACTAATAAATTCCCTCGTATTATTTTAAATCTAATGGTCAATACCATTTTTCATTTCCTTTTATCTCACCCTAAATTCCTTACATAAGAAGGGCCCAAATTATAGGATCCTATGTCCAACTCCGACCGTAGGCCTTTACTTGAAGTCCGAATTAAAGGGTGTAGATCATGGTCCTTCAAATTTTATATATTTCGCTAGGCAAGTACCATAGATTTATAATAATTTCAGAAGCACAGATTTATCATACCATCCAACTCACATTAAGGAATAGGGTGAATTGGTTGAAAGGCCTTTTTACATAGTATAATATAAGTAGGCTGAAAAAATAATTAACGGAACAGGAAGCTGTTTCAGATCTCAACTCCATGCAATCAGAATATTATTTCCCTTTAATCTTCATTAATACATACAGAGGTCAAGTTACTAAAATAATTTATTAAATGTAAATAAGATTTAAGTAATTATTATGTAAAATGGTATTCACAATCTATAGGTAAGGCGAGTATTAAGATCTGAAATCTTAAGTGGTCACTTAATTAGTAATTATA